TATTCATATGAGAACTAGTCATCAACATTGCGTATTTTTCAATCGCCACTCGTTTAAAAGGTAGAATTGATAAAACAATAAGAATGCCAACTCTGCAGCTTGATAACAGTGATTCTTCAAGTGCTAATGAAATATGGACCTTCATTTGGAAAGACTAGGCTGTCTTTTTTGCAGTCTGTTAAGAAGCTGTAAGTTACGGGCATGTAAAACGTGAAAATCCATTGCGGCAGTTTATTTTATACGCTAAGTGCGACTACAAATGGTGAATTAAAAGCGAGAAAACCTGTTTATGAAGTCATTTAACAGGCCACAGTGATTTTAATTAGCGAAGAACTTTTCTAATTAGCTATCAAGATCTTGATATATCTCTATTAGAGTCTTTCTCCTCCTTAGATAGCGCATTTTAAAAGGTAGTGTATGAAATTATTATCTGGCTTGGAGAACCTACTATACAGCGTTGAAAAGCAGCACCTTATTTCACTTGTTCTATAAATTTCGACCTTCCATCTACTAATTTTCATTCTCCCTTCCTTTTTTCTACTCTTCTTCTGCACTGCCCTATTTCCTCTTCCGCATCCATTATGATTTATCATGCGTTGAACGAAAAGTGGTCATGCATAAGAAATATAGTTTTTCTGTTACTGACTTTGGTCTAATTTTCTAAAGCGGAAGAAACATTTATTTTATGCCAGTCGGGCTTAGACAGCAGTAAAACTGTTTTTTTGCTTGTTGTCAAGCAGTACTTTGGTAATGAGTTGCGCATGAACAGTCGCTAGAAGAATAGAGAAACCACAATACTTTCATTGATTCCACAGTCCCCTATCAAGTCCTCCTTAGCTTACTAGCGACGTCCTCTTCTACCAATGCACCCTTACCACCTCTCTTCATGAAAAAGAAGAGAAAGAGAAAAAACAAATTTTAACTAATCAACCGTGCATCTTTGCCAAACCGATAATTTTACCCTTACTAGGTTAACAGATTTGGATTTTAAGATGGCATCCAAGAAAAGAAGTAATTAATAAGAAGCACGCAATGTACTTACCAAATACCGTAAAATTCGCGTTATAGTTTTGAGAAAATAACCTGATTTTCCTTAGACTACTTGTAAGATGGTGAGCATAATGTTCCAACTCTGCCTTCTGGCAATAAATTTCTTTGAAATAATTACTTCAAAGTCCCTTCTCTTCACTGTCGGTGTCCTGTGCTTTAGTTCACTTTCTGATTTGATTTAAAAAAAAATTTTCTAACTAGTGTCAGAGACTTCTAGAAGTTACTCATGAAAAGGTAAAAAATGTTAGACAAAGCAGTGAACTCAGCAGGAAATAAAATGCGTTGCTTCACGTCCCTCCTTGCTAGTAGAAACCTTTTTGTTCCGCAGAATACGGTTGTTAAGATAATCTAAAAAACAACGACAAACTTACTCATAGCTCTTACACCTGCCAGTACACCCCTTCCAGGATTTTTATGGTTGATTAGTATATACGTGACACCTATCGATACGTCTTTTGAAAAATTTCTTATAAATTTTACTTTTTGAAAAAATTTCTTGCTAGAACGTCATGTAGAAAAAATTTTAAAAATTTAGAGAAAACAACCTATGAAACAATATGGCCTTAACGAAAGCATCACGAATATTCGCCAACTACAGCAGTACTTATTTTGTTTAATACAAGACAATGAAGTTAGAGATAAACAAACCATCAATTAAGTACTCACGAGGAAATCTTAAACGTTTTCTTTGTTAGCCAAAGTGTCATCTACTAGAAATATGCCCCTAAACAATGAATTTGAGTTTTACAGGCTAATTCTTTTGACGTGTTTGTAAAAAAGTTTGAAGATCATAGTCTTTCCTCCCCTCTCCTGCCTTTTCCAACTTTTATCAATCTCAGTAAAACTGTAACTTGACATAAATTATAAAAATCGCTCCGCCGTTCAAGCACTTCAAAGCAGTAGCAGCTTCAGCAATTTTCAAGCTTTGACGACAAACTAAATTTCGTCTATTTTGACACGAGTTTATTCTTCTCTAACTTCTCTGCTTTTCACCTACTTTTTTTTAAAACTTTCAGGAGTTTTTGAATCCAACAGAAGATTATAAAAGAATTTCTTTTGTCGCCCCTCACCATACTTTAGGACATTATACAACTTTAAGTAGCTTCAGTAGACAGAGTAACAACTCGACTAAATTAGTTGTAGCAAATAAAGTGTTATAAAATTTTGAAGCAAAAGTTTATCTGAAATTAGATATATACACCACTTAAAAGAAAAAAGAGTGAAGAAATTAATTTGTAATTTTAATCTCAAAAAAATAAAGCAGGCTTCTACAACATCTTAAGAAAAACTTCGCAGAATAATAGTATTTTTATACAACAGATTCCAAAAATGTTTTATACCTTAGATTCCGATCCTGAAAATGCTGCCTTTTCTAGTCGAGTTACAATTTGTAGATTTGAATAAGAAACGTCTATTACATGTTGGCCAAGAACTGAATTCTTATCTACAGCTGGAAGAGGTTTCATGAAGAGCTTTAAAACAAGATCGCTGCAGCTCTTCCAATTATAACGCCTATTCAGGAACCTAAAACAGTTCTAATGTTATTTATTTAACGAAAAAACAGGTATGATTACTGAAAAAGATTAAATAAGGCAGTACTGTAACTTGCAGACTACTGTCACTTGAATAAAACTTCACCACTGATCGTAACGATTAAAATTCTTACTAAAGTTGCGTAAAAAAATCTCTAATCAATTGCGCAGCGGAAAGGAATGAGAATTTGAACATATATACAAAAAGATAAAAAAGTAGCAATTAATAAGCGATTCAAGCAGTTTATAGTTGAAAACAGTTATATGATTCTTACAAATTATTTTTTTTACATCGTTAAATACTGTGTTAAAAAAACTAATTATATCCCTCATTCGAGGAAGAACAGAACAAAGGCGAATATGTAAAATGCAACTTTAAAAAACAATATTACTTTTCTTTCAAATTTGATAAAGTAATTTTGAATCTTCCAGACTTTATTTCAACCATCAGCTTACTGTATTTCCTCTGTCCTTCAGTGTTTTGAGTTTTTAAAACGAAGATTTACAAAACGTGTTACTGGTTTCCAATCGATTTGTTCTTACAAAGAATTCTCTGAAGAAATACGTGAAAAAGAAGCAAAACAACGTGTGAAACCGCTAATTTGGTCAATTTTGAATTTTAGATAAGCTCTGCATATTAAACAACTATCTAAAGACAGTTCACAAAATAAAATATAAAGATACGGTTTCTAAAATCGGTCTTTGAAGGCACCGAGAAAAAATATAAGACAGAAAAGTTAAAAGTAGCTTAAAATCGTTTTAGAAGTAAGTTCG